CATATCTATTTGTCCCCTCTTTCGGTAAAATCATTATTGCCTGAAGATGACATTCTAGGCGATGACATTCTAGGCAATAACTACAAATGTACAAAAACATTTCTATAAGTAACAAGTCACATATTAAATGTACAACCATAATAGAAGATGTAGAGTGCTAAAAATGTTTCTCCTGAAGAATTAGAACATAAGAACGTTTCTGTAACTTGTCAACAATCCATTCAACCAAATAAAATGAATCAGCGGTAAAAGATATTGAACGTGGAACTAATGATGTGAAACAATGAAGGATGTGACTTAAAGCCAACATCAATCCCATTTATATTACTCATATTTTAGTTTTAGATACATTCATTTTTATCTATTTCTCTAACAAGTATTTCTGGACGGAGGGAGTATTATATAATAAAAATACACTATCATTTTGTCAATTCCTGAATAATATATTATTATATATACGTCTTCCTCTCACAATTAACAACTTAACACAAATTCCCGTAGTTCTAATTAGATGAGTTCATGTACCTTTTCGGAGTACATGCATGATTCTAAAAGATGTTTTTTTAGGATAACTGCATATCTCATTAACCAGCAAAGGTTACAAACATAGCACATGCGCAGCATCGTCGAGAAACCACGAGAGACCCCAGGTGTCCCAACACAAATGCGAAAAGACCCCCAAAGAAAGAGAAAGTACAATCCAGTCCCGGGGGGGCCTTAACACAGAAACAGCCAACACCAGCCGCCGACCGCCGCCGCCGAGACGAACAGCAAAGGAAGACGCCAGAAACCACCAAGTCCTGAACCGAGGGCACACCATCGCCGGAAACGGCTTTCTGAGTCGAAGATGAGCCCCACCGCGAACGGCGAGGCGTAGCTGCTGTGGCACGTCGACCGGGGTACATCCCCGTGCAAATCCTCGGTTCGAGCTCCGGCACCTTCGTTTGACGAAGTCGAAGGAGAATCACCAGATTTGCCGCCACAAACCACCACCCGAGTGCTGGGCCGCCAAATCTCTCGCCAGCCGCCGCTGCCACCGCACAGGTGACCAACGCCGGCTTGAGCACTCCTGTACAGGACTCCACCGGCTTCCCATCGACACCAGAGGACGTGTCGACGTGGCAGGGACGAAGCCGAGGAAGCAAAACTCCCGATCTGGTCGACGGCACCGCCTCCTCGACCAAACCCAAGCACACCGAGCCCGCCGCCGCGCACGCCGGCCAGGCCAAACCTAACCTCACCGCCCAAGACGAGCGGCAGGAATCTACGCCGGTGGCCCGTCGATCCCATCCGAGAAGACGAGCTCGAGGTGGAACGAGCCCCGGAAGAACAAAAAGCCGACGAGACGCAGCCTCCAACCAAGCGTCGTCCCCGCGAAAACGCACCCGAGCTGCGGCCACCACCGACGACGAAGCCCGCGGGCCAAAGCAGAACTAGGATGAAGACGTACTCGCATGCAACTCCTCCCTCGCCACCCGAGCCAGAGCCAAGGACGACGCCGGCGGGCGCCCAACCAGATCGAGCGCACGAATCGGAGCACACACAAGCAGCAGACCTGGAGCCGTCGCCATGGACGAGACCATGCAACACCCGAAGCACACCAAGTCGCGGGCGTCTCCGCCACCCTCGCCGCCTAGCCGGAGCCAAGCGCGATGCCAAGGAGCCTGCCGCGACAGCAGAAGCCTAGCTACAACCACCAAACTAAGCTATATGTACAGCCCACGCGTGGATCTGGGCCCCCCTCACCTCACAACGCCGACGAGGGCGCCGGAAGCGAGGGGGCCCGACGAGATCGACGGCGGGAGCCCAGGCGCTGAGGTCGCCAAACGGGTCTCCTCTTTGATCTACTGTAGCGAGAGGGGAAAAGACGGGCTCTTGTCCGATTCTAAAAGATGTTGAGGCAGAATGAGAACAAATCCAAAATGCACAAGCAAATTATAAGAATAAAACCATTTGAGAAACTTAAATCACTATCTTGGTGGATGCTAAATCACTTTTCGTTGGCTGCTCTGTGTGTTTCTGACCACGTCTGGTCTACCAAATCTTGTGCCACCATCGAGCACCTCGGGTTTCCTCTATACCCTAATTTACTTTCAGTAATTCTGTATCTGCTATGTTTTCTGTTGACTAGTTCATCTTCAGTTACTTGAGATGTTTTGCTTTGACAGTTCCTATTTCTTTCTCAGTGTTTTATTTCGATGAACTGCATTTTGATGGTTATTATGGAGGCATGAGGCATATGGTGACTGCACTAGAGTTGAACAATAAAATAAATAAAAAACAGTAAAAACATTCCAACAGTCCTTTTTTTTTGCAACAAACATTTGAACTAAACCACAACAATAATTATGGAACGGAGGAAGTAGTTTTAAAGCATTTTGGAGCGCTTACTTTTTCAGACTAATATGAATGTCATTTCTCAGGGGCGGAGCCAGGATTTGGGTATAGGGGGGGCCAAGCCAAGTATAGATTAAAAAAATACCGTACAAAAGATGATTATCGAGAACAAAGGTTGAGCACTTGCACGTCAACTTCATTAACAATTTGACAATTCGAAGCAACCGGCTAAGAAAACGAATTAATCTTAATGGTGTTTGACAACCTTTTTTTCCCGCAACGTTTGGCAATGGTTTTACTCCTCATAAGATAGGAATCTCAGTTTCAAAAGCAACCAGCTTAGAGAATGAATTAATCTTAGTGTTGTTTGTCAGCGTCTTTTCTCTTCATAGTTGAGGAATTCTAATTTCTGAATTCTATACTCATACAGTCGACATAGGAAATTTTTACACCACAAAAAGGAACTCATACAAGATAATCTGCATCACGAAAATATGTGGGATACGTACAAGATATGAATTCTTAATAGCATCTCAAATCACAAAATAAAACAATCAAATCTAATGTATAATTTCAAAACTGATACGAGATGAAAATCAAGAGAAATTAGTATGTTGTGATGTGCTAACCTGCTAGTTTGTTGGCTGAACTAGTGAAGTACGTTGCGTCTCCAACTCGCCATACGAATCAGATTGTGAGAAGCAGAGTAGGCAGTAGGGGATCAGAGTTAGACCGGCGGCAAGGGCACACGGCGGCGGCGGCAATAGCGCCCTAATCTCTACCCACGTACAAGCTAATTACGGACGAAAGAACGGAGTCCAGAAGACTAGATCGGAGGTTACGTTGTCAACTGGCCACTAGTGGGCTTTTACTATGGGCCTTTTTCTC